TTTATGGGTTCCAATAAAAAAATTATCTACACTAATACAGAGACGCATCATTAAAACAATATTGCCCGTTGCTCTTATTGACGCTCACTTAAGACTATGGACTACTAAGACTACTATGTTTTCTCCTTTAGATTCCTGATCATTTAAGCTCGTTTACATATTTTTAGCTCCTGCTATGCAAAAAAACAACTTTTTTTTATCTTAATTTAAGTTAAATACAATTACCTTGACTGATATAAACTTTTTGAATTGACTTTGCATGTAAACTAGCTACTTCTGCTGCCTCTGCTGCTTGCGGTCTGAACGTAGCATTAGTATAACAACAGAAATGGAGTATGACTAAAAGGTGATCCGACTACTAGAGCTTTGGTTTACAAAGACAGCAGTAGCTCCATTTTTTTACTAAGTGGGAACTCAAGTTGTGTATTTTCAGAGAGAATATGTATCTAAGAATTAAAAAAAAAAAAAATACATCAAATGATTTAAAACTAGACCTCACAACCAAGAAAGTTTTTTTTTAAAGACGATCTGGAGGACAGAATTCACTGTGACACCTTAGATAAGCTAGGCTAAAAATAGAGCAGCAGAAAAGTGGACAGGCAAAGCAATGACCTTCATGAATAAGATGCTGTTCTTTCACCTGTGCTCTGCTCACGTGTATGTCTGCACACGAGAGAACTTCACAGGCTGCAAAGCTGCACGCTCCACAGTTCTTCTTCTTCTCCTTTTCCAGAGATTAGTGCTTTAAAAAGAAATTATTTTCTACTATCTGCAGTCACAGAAGTCGCGATGATGAACGGATGTCGAAGTCTGCTTCAACACCAGCAAAGCTAGTGGAGGATATTCCTCTCCCTAAACCGAAGGACTCGGCTGTTGCAAGAGAGGAGAAACAGCTCCCACCCCTCCCAGGTCAGAGATCAGTAACCCTGAAAACTTGGTTGGGTATAAGACATGGAAATCAATCAGATATCTTCCTCCCATCCATCCTTCCTTTAGCAAAGCGCTGGATATAAAATAAAATGTCTTAGTGAAGTTAATTTGGGTTTAGAACCAGTTCTTTTTGCCCTTTTTAAAAACACAACCACCCTGATAAGTTGGACCCAGACGCCTGCTGAGTCTGGCTGAGTTTGCCTGGAGCCAAGTGAAAATAAACCATATGAGTTGATGGAGTCTGACGTTTCTCTCCAGCCTGCAGCACTCTGCTGTCTTTGGCTTCGACCTCCCAGCGAAGGACACTGTGTGCTTTGTGTGTTTGTGTTTGCACAAA